CCATACTGAGCCTCTTCTTCCTCCTTAGTCACCTGGCAACCTTGGGTCTCGGCCCCCTCTGTTCATGCCTCTAGCCTGGCTCTGAACAAACGCCTAGACTAAGAATCAGCCTCTGAAGGGGAGGTTCCAAATCCCCCTGCCCTTCAACTGGACTTTGCAGGGGGCAGCATGGTGAAGGGGAACAAATAAGAGCTTTTGCATCAAACGCAGCTGGGTTCAAATCCTGGCTCAGACACTGGCTGACTGGGTGGCAATGGGCAAGCCACCTGCCCTCTCCATACCTCTTTCTTTATCTGTAAATTGGAGGTGCTGATAAAAATCTGTATCTTTCAGAGTTGTATTGGTTGAGAAAGGACTAGAGGTATAATGACATGTGACAAGTGGCAGTCAATAAACGGTAGCTACTATTGCAAAGGCGCGCTAGCTTGCTGGCCCCTTGCTAAGGAGAGAGGGGAGCAGTCTCTGATGCTCTCATTTTACAGTTGAACAAACTGAGGCCCAGAGATGGGAAGTGCCACCTTGTCAGACAGGGTTTCTTGGATGTACCTGGGTTCTAGAACCTTCCACTGAAGGCAGAGGCCCAGGGGATGTTCTCTGGAATAGTGGCCACACCTAAGAAGGTTTCAACCTCCCTGCATTCTTCCTTAACCTCTTTCTTTCGTTTCTGAGCTCATTTCCTCTTCCCATCTTTCCCCTTTATTTTTAACTCTGTTTTTTTTCTAGCTCCTTCCTACCAGAGGTTCATATTTTGCATCAAGCCTCTTCTAGCTTTTGAGTGTTTTGTTTCTCCCACGCACACGCACGTGTGTGTGTGTGTGTGTGTGTGTGTGTGTGTATTGAATTTTTTTCCCTGTGCATGTTATTCTTGGAGACAGAACTGCCTTCGCTTAGATGATGGGATGGAAGGCATGGGGACAGAGGCATGACATCCCCTTTGGGACACTGCTGTCTACTGGCCCACCAGGGCATGGGAATCTTAGGGTAGGTCACCAGGGAAGCTCCCAGTGTGCAGGGCAGGGACACTTCTTCCCAAAGAGACAATGAAACAGCAAGTGGCAGCCCTCACCTCCTGACCGCAGCTCACCTCTCCCACTCCCTGCCACCAAAGTTAGTCTCCTGCCTGGAAAAACAGCCTTGAGCTACCACAGTTACGTCTGTTTCCCCAGGAATGCAACAAGGACCACAAACCAAGGCACAGTGAGGAGTCACTGCTGGGAAGACCAGCCTTCAAGTCCAGGGTCACAGAGTGGGTTGTCCCCTCCCCATCGCCAGATCCACTTTGCGCTTCTGGCCTCTCATGGCCATGATGTATGTTACCAGATTTCTCGTGACCATCCTATCACATGATGAGGAAAAAGAAGTCCAGAGAAGTGGAGGGGCCTCCCAAAGTCACACAGCTGTGGTTTCCTGATTCTGAATCACAAGTAGACATTGCTCCCAAAGCACAGAAGATCTGCACTTAGCATAGGACAACCGCGCACCATTCTTCAGAGTCCTCAGACACATTTATCACAGTGGGACGCTGATCACCAACACATGGTCTAACGGGTTTCAGCTCTTCTATTTAAAAAGTCAGAGAAAAGTTTAAGGAATGTTGGGAATTTTCCCTGAAAAGCATTTTAAAACATTTTCATCTCTAAAGGAATAAGCCCTTACCAAGCAAGAAAACTTGACTCTCCATAAAAAACTAATTTCCTGGGGTTTTACTGACTTTGGCTTTTTACTTAACAGTGAAAGGGTCATTTCAGTTACACACAGTCTTTTCAGATGAGAAGGCCCCTTTGAGGGTCAGAACCCTGCTGCCTACAGGGTGGCTTTGTGGGAATTAGAAAACGGTGTCACTTCCTCAATACATTTACTTCCATCTATCAAAACATTGTTGTAATACATGGATTTCATTAAGTTGAGACATTTAACTGCCATCTGCCAGAAAATTATCATGATAAATATCACAAAACTATATAATGTCTGTGAAACAGCGTCCCTGGATTATCATCTATTCTTTGTAACAACACAAAAACATAGTGGCTTAAAATGAGAATAAACATTTATTGCCTCCCAGTTTCTGTGCATCAGGAATTTGGGAGAAGCTCAACTGATCAGTCCTGGTTCAGTGTCTTTCATGAGGTTGCAATCAAGATGTCAGCCAGGGCTGCTGTCATCAGAAGGCCTGACTGGGGCTGGAAGATCTGTTCTCAAGGTGGCTCACCCATTCAACTAGCAAGTTGGCATTGGCTGCTGGCAGAAGGCCTCAGTCCTCTGCCATAGGGGCCTCTCCCTAGGGCTGCTTGAGCATCCTCACAACATGGCAGCTGGCTTCCCCAGAATGTGTGATCCAAGAGAAAGCAAGGTGGAAGAAGTAATGTCTTTTATGACCTCACCTCTGAGGTCCTGTCTCTTGACTTCCACAGATCTTATTGATTAGGCAGGTAAGCCCTATTTATGTGGGAAGGGACCGTACAAAGGCATGAAATCATGCCACCAAGAGGCAAGAGTCACTGAGAGCCATGTCTGAATCTTCTACTACAGCCCACTTAGATGTAGTGCCGTTATATAGTAAACAACTTGCACAACAGTAATATCAGGCCAGCTAAGGACAGCCCTTGCCATAGACCTTCCACCAACTTTGTGCCAGGACTGTGCTAAGCACTTAATAATATTATCTGCCCTCAAGCAGCTAACAATCTAGCAGAGACACCAATCATTAAAGTTCAAGGCAGAGTCAAATAAATGACAAAAATCAGGAGACCAAAGGCTGGAGAGACCGAGCCTCTGAATTGAGGGATGGGGAAAGCGTTGTCTAAGTGGGACCTTGAAGTGTGGATGGGATGTGTACCCCTGGAAGTGCAAGATGTTGGTGTTCTCGAGCCAAGAATGCAGCATGAACAAAGGCATGGCAGCTGAGAACAGGGTGTATGTTGAGGGTTTGGAGAGTAGGGGCTGCAAAGGTACATTTGGGTCACATTGGAGGGGAGTATTACGGCCACTCAGTCCGTCCAGGTGACCACCCACTCTCAGCTGTGCTCAGAAGGTGGGATGGGAAAAGCTGATTGAGCCACAGCTCTATCTTCTCCTCTCCCCTTCTCCTCTCACCCTAGCAGAAGAGAAACCACCACAAAACTTACACAGAGTAGGGGAGGCTGTCTGGGGAGCAAGGAAGAGGAATCCCTCCCCAAGACTCTAAGAAAGGCAGGAGGCTGGGGCTGGGGTGGTCTCCACTTTATCACAGTCATGTCATGGCCCTTTAATCTGTTAGAGCATAGGCATTCTTGATTTGTTCTCTGTGCATCCCCAGAGTCCAGTACAGAGCCTGGCACAGGAAGAAAACCCAGTAATATTTAGTGAATGAATGCATGGACTGGCAGGGTCTCTGGCCCTTTTAAAGATGAGAAGGTGGGAAAGCAGTGAGGCCTTAGCTCTGGGAAGCCTCCCAAGCCTCTTGGGGCATGGCAGAGAAGTCTAACTCCAGGCACCTGGCCAGTGAGATTGCTTAGGGAAGGCCTGGGCTGACCCATGGTGGAGGAGAAGGTGAGGGCAGGGGAGGAGCACCCAGCACCCTCCATGCCCGCCACCTCCCCAGTGCCACCAGGCCCTACTCATGTTTCATGAGCTGGCACCTCTCTCTCCTCCCCGCCCCTGCCTCTGCCTTCCCAGGGCAAAACATCCATAAGATAAATGTGTAAGGATCTCCAGAGCGCATCCTGCTGAGCGTGGGGCTTTAGGGCTTTTTTGTTTTCTCCCCACTTTATTTGTACCAAGTTATCTTGGTACAAGCCGCTGGGCCAGGACTTAGCTAAGATTTATCTAGATGGGCCATGCTGAGACTCTGCTGCAAGTAGAAGGGCCCTAACAAGCTCGTCCAATCTGCCTTTTTTTATTGCTGCTGTTCTGTTTTTTTTTTTTAAGACTTTTACCAGCCTGAAGCCATGGTTTTTGGTTTCTGTCTCTAGTGACAAGTGGAAAAGAGGGATGAGGAAGGGGCTTTACTGGCCCAACCAGAAACAGAAACTAACAACCCATGACTGTATTCTCTCCTTGGGACACCCCTACCTGCTCTGGCACATACCACATTTTGTCTTGGTTGACTATGTTCACCCGTGCTGTGAGCTGTGCTTCCTGAAAGGAAGGGATGCCAGTTGTCCTCTGTCATGCCCTGCTGTCTCCTGGCAGCTGGGATTGGCCATACCTTATGTATAACATGTATAATGATAAGGTGTCTCAGAAGAGGCTTCTCACCACAGGGGTTATCCTCATGAGGCTAACAGAATACAGACATGAAAAAAGTAACAATGTACTTGCATTTATGTTGCATGTATATTTATATTGAATATTGTATTTATATTTGTATTGAATTTAAATATTTATAGGTGAAATGGCTCTCAGATATACATATATAGGATGTTAGTCTTTTTTTTAATAAAAAGATCAAGAATTACAAATGGAAGGAAACTTCAACTACGGTGAATGAGTAAGGTCAGGAAGCAAAACATACCACAAGGCCCCCATTCACTTGCTGAAAATGGACCACGAAATTTGTTTTAAGCTTCCCAGTAGCCAGTGCAAAGTGAGTCTGTTACAGAGTCAGAGGATTTGTGAGACAAACCAGAGCTGCTTCTCAGCAGAAGCAGTGAGAAGTCCTTGCCCCACAGAGGTGGGTCCTGTTCCTGTAGCCAAGGCAACAGCTGGGTTTGTGTGGCTTCTCATCCTGCCATTGTATTCTGCAACTGCATGTTGGCAAAGTGGAATTCAGTAAAACCAAGCCTGCAAGAAGCCTTGCAACCTTTGCTGAGTACCTGACACCAGCTGCCCAGTGAGAAGCCTAACTCCAAGAGTCTTAGGGGTCCAGAGAAAAGCCCTATCTTGTAAGCCACGCTGTGAATTGCAGGTGAGATGTGACAAAGCTGAGAGGCAGGAGGACCAGCCTTGCAGTGGACAGGGAGCCCTTATGCAAAGGAGGTGGCTCAGAGTCCTAACCCAGTCTTCTCCGTGTCTCTCTGCAGGGCTCTGGCTGAGAACATGGCCAATGACATTGACGAGCTCATTGGCATTCCCTTCCCCAACCACAGCAGTGAGGTCCTGTGCAGCCTCAATGAGCAGCGGCACGATGGCCTGCTGTGCGACGTGCTCCTGGTGGTGCAGGAGCAGGAGTATCGGACCCACCGCTCCGTCCTGGCTGCCTGCAGCAAGTACTTCAAGAAGCTCTTCACCGCCGGCACCCTAGCCAGCCAGCCCTATGTCTACGAGATTGACTTCGTGCAGCCTGAGGCTCTGGCCGCTATCCTGGAGTTCGCCTATACCTCCACGCTCACCATCACCGCCGGCAACGTCAAGCACATCCTCAATGCTGCCAGGATGCTGGAGATCCAGTGCATTGTGAACGTGTGCCTGGAGATCATGGAGCCTGGGGGGGATGGCGGGGAGGAGGATGATAAGGAGGATGACGATGATGACGAAGATGATGATGATGAGGAGGATGAAGAAGAGGAGGAAGAGGAAGAGGAGGAGGATGACGATGATGACACGGAGGATTTTGCTGACCAAGAAAACTTGCCTGACCCCCAGGACATCAACTGCCACCAAAGCCCTTCCAAGACGGACCATCTCACAGAGAAGGCCTATTCAGACACCCCCAGGGACTTCCCTGACTCCTTCCAGGCTGGCAGTCCTGGCCATCTGGGGGTGATCCGGGACTTCTCCATTGAATCTCTGCTGAGGGAGAACCTGTACCCCAAAGCCAACATCCCCGACAGGAGACCCTCCTTGTCTCCATTTGCCCCAGACTTCTTCCCACACCTCTGGCCAGGGGACTTCGGTGCCTTTGCCCAGCTGCCTGAGCAGCCCATGGACAGTGGGCCACTGGATCTGGTCATTAAGAACCGGAAGATCAAGGAGGAAGAGAAGGAGGAGCTGCCCCCACCCCCACCCCCACCCTTCCCTAACGACTTCTTCAAGGACATGTTCCCTGACCTGCCTGGGGGGCCTCTGGGTCCCATCAAGGCAGAGAACGACTACGGTGCCTATCTCAACTTCCTGAGTGCCACCCACCTGGGGGGCCTCTTCCCACCCTGGCCCTTGGTGGAAGAGCGCAAGCTGAAGCCCAAGGCCTCTCAGCAGTGCCCCATCTGCCACAAAGTCATCATGGGGGCCGGGAAGCTGCCGCGGCACATGAGGACCCACACCGGGGAGAAGCCATACATGTGCACCATCTGCGAGGTCCGCTTCACCAGGTGCGCATTGCAGCCTCGGGTGCGGGGGACAGGGCCGGAGGCCATGGGGGACAGCAGAGTTGGGCAGGGAGGCTGGGGATGGCGACAGAGACCCAGAAGGATCCCAGACACATGCAGGTTCGTGGCTAGCAGGGGTGCTAGGCGTCACCTGGTACTGTGACTTTCAAACCCTTTTTAGGGGCTGCAGTATTTTCTCAGATACAATATTAGGTGGAAACCCATGATATAAAACAGCTAAGAGCAGGGCTGTTCCAGTTGGGACAGAAGTGAGGCACCTCAAGCATCTTGGTTGCTTGGCTTCCCCATCATCTTCCAGCTGTAAATTCATGGAACCCAGTTGGAATGGATGGCACTCCCAGATGGAGTGCTGCCCCTTCATTTTATTTGGAGAAGCAGCTGCTGACCTTTATGAAGCATGTTCTACATGCCAGGGGCCGTCCTAGGCACCATAAACATACTCTCACCACAGCCAGGCCCTGGGAAGATGGGAAGATGGGGAGACATGGTGGGCTTCGTTTACGATACACCTCCCAGTAGCTGACCACGAGTGCGCGCACTGGAAAATGGCAGAGCTGGGACTGGCATCCCAGTCCCTGTGTGACAGCCAAGTCTGTGGCCAGGAGACTGTAGAGGTGCCTGTAGGCCCTTTCCATCATTTTGGGGTCAGACCTAAAGGTTGGGCCTCTTTTCATGTTCCCCTCTTTGCCTTTCCATGTTAGGAAGGGGGACAACTTTATGTTGTTATAAAATTTGAAATCAACACATTATAAACCTGTCACCTTTCATAGACCCTGTCCCATTCAGCAAGTATAAGTTACATGCCTACTCTGCACAGCAACTTTTGCAGTCAAAACTGATGAGTGGGTTGATGTGGGGTCAGACTTGTCCGCTGCCAGCTTTGGAGAGGGCTCACTTTTGGAAAATATGGGCTGTTGGTGCTGTCTGTGGTTCCTGGCATGAGGCTGATCTTCTCAGCCCCATCCACAAATGGGGAGGATTCTGGTGGGTGGCCTGGCATCACGGCTTGGTCATTTCAGTGTGTCCTGTGTGCACAGAGCCTGGCGATGCCTACCCTGTGACCACGGCTTACTAGACCAGGTTCCTTCCCCACACTGCCACTTTCCCTCTCAAATAGCTCACCTGGAGAGACCCACACTTATTCCGGTGGTGCTGCTGCTGCCCCACTTCTCCTTGGAGATGTATCTTTGGGAATTGCTGGCAGCTCATTCTTTTGATTTTCCTCAGTGGGCCCAAAGTTGTGGCCTGAGGATGCAGTATAAGTTTGTGAATGAGGGTGGGTATCAAATCAGGGACTATGCTTTTCCAGAAAGAAAAAAAAAAAAAAAAGAGTCCTTAAAAAGATGAGTCCTCTAAAGTCATGTGACCTGTTCTCTTGGGTGGCTTGGAAACTAACGTTGGCAGAGAAGAGTTTCAGAAATTCGCTCAGTGGACAGTGGTGTGGCTGAAATCGCTCTGCTGGCTCCTCTGATGACTGCTTTGAAGGACAACACTGATTATTTCCCAGGCAGCCTTGGGGTCCTGCTCACAGCTGCTTCTGTGAGGAGAACCCCAGACAGCCTCTGTCCCGGATGCTTCCAGGGACAGTGGAGGGACAAGCTGCAGGAGCAGAGGGGCAGGGCCTCACAGACCCAGGATGTGTCTTCCTTGCCCTTAGCAGTGAGCTAAGCCAGCCACCCGGCAATGCTGACGGCAGGGCGCCCTGCTCCTGTTAGCCCCCAGAGCAGACGGACCCAAAGTTCCTGAGATTCACCTCCCCTTGGATGTCCCTCAGTGACAGCCCTGCCACCCCAGTGCCACTGTGGATGATGCTGCCCCCTGCCTCCTCCTGAATTCACCTTAGCCCCACGGAGCCAGGCAGAACACCTGAACAGGCCTTGGCAAAAGCACAGAAACCACTGAGGGAGATAAACCAGAGCACCATGTGAAAGCCAAATTCAGGTGCAGCTCACGCATCTTCAAGGGGAGTCTGGCTTCAGCCCGAGTCCCAGCCCCTGCCTATGACTTTAAGGTTGCCAGGAAGCTCTGCACAGGCCCAATCAGGAAAGCCAGCCGCGTTATCAGCCCGGAGCGTCCTCTCCTGCTAACACAGGCTCCACCTCCCTCACTGCCCATGGCTGTCCCCTTAGCAGATGGCTGACAGGAGCACCTCTCCCATCACAGGAGACTGAGGCTGGTGACTCCAATTCCAAAGGGATCTGTGTCTCAGGGTGGGTAGCCCTGCTGGCACCCTGAGCCCCCACCTCCCTTCCTTCCCCACTCCTTTTTCTCTGGCCCACACACAGCCTTCTGTGAGGTCCACACCAGGTCTGGACGATCTGTGTGCCCTGGTTTTTTTTGTTTTTTGTTTTTGTTTTTGTTTTTTTGAGACGATTTCACGCCCGTCACCCAGGCTGGAGTACAATCACATGATCTCAGCTCACTGTAACCTCCGCCTCCTGGGTACAAGTGATTATCCTGCCCCAGCCTCCCAAGTACAGGTAGCTGGGATTACAGTTAGGCGCCACCATGCCCAGCTAATTTTTGTATTTTTAGTACAGATGGGGTTTCACTATGTTGGCCAGGCTGATCTCGAACTCTTGACCTCAGATGACCCACCCATCTCAGCCTACCAAAGTGCTGGGATTACACCCGGCTTTTGTGCCCTGTTTTAAGGGAAAGTTTTCACCTTGCGCAGTCACTGCTGACAGATTCTTCACCCTCTGGACCCTGGGACATTCTCTAAGAGCAGGCCTCCTGGTTGGGGCAGCAGTGCTGTGTTGTATAGGAGGGTGACATTCCAGATTCCTCCCTCCTAGCACATTCCTGATGGTCACTTGGGATGGCCTCTGTGTCTGCAGTCCCCACTCCCAGCCAGGTCTGCGGTGGGGCAGCTCTGGTCATCCAGCCATCTGGCCTTGGGCTCCTCCTGCTCCAGAATGGCAGCCCTCTGGCCCCAGGCCTGTCTCCAGCTGAAGCCAGTGCATTCCAGCCCCCTTGGCACCCCCACCACTTGTCCCCACTGGGCTCTGACCCTCCCGAAACAGATCAGACAAGCTCTTGAGTCTCTCTCTTACCAGGAGGGGAGAAACCCTGAGCTGGGGGAAGGCAAGGTGGAGGAGACGGCTCCTCCTCACTTCAGAGGCTTTATTGCTCACCGTGGGCTGTGGCTGCCCTTGTGGGGCACTCCCTGTTCTCCTCCCTCACATTCTCCACAATCACTGGGCCTTTGCTTCTCAGCCCGTCTCTGGAGCTGCCTGGCAAGGATTCTTTTCAGTGCTTGAAGAGCCCCAAGCATGGTGTGTCCAGGTTGAGGTTTTCCTGTAATTCTCCCTGTGGCCAAAGCTCCCTGCAGGCTTTCCACGGGGACCTTCTTTTTGGCTGAATTCCCCGTTAGGATTCCTAACACCTGCTCCTTCCACCTGGAATCTCTTTAGCAGCCACTTAGAGCGGCGACAGCCAGCTGTCTTATTGACACAGAATTCCCAGACTCCCTTCCAAGGCCACGCCACTGAGACTGGGCCCTGTAGTGTCCTTCTTGTCCCCCAACAAGGACCCAGACATGCTGCCCTCAAGCCTTCCTCTTGGAAATGATTTCCCCTTCTGGAACCCAAGTCTTTCCTTCAGCACAGCTGAGCTTCTGCCCTGGCAAAGCCCCATTTCCTCCCTCCTTGATGCTGGGAAGAGCTCAGGGTCCTGTGACATTCCTGTGGGGTGCTGGAGAAGCCTGCCCTTCCCCCACATGGTGGCCTGTCAGCCCAGGCTCTGAGTCACAGCCTCCCAGATGCCAACTCCCAGAATGTCCACACCCCATGGGGACGTCACTCCTAATGACCTCAGCAGCCACAACCAAGGTGGAAGGCATGGGGTCCCTTCCAGAAAAGCCCCTCAACCCCTGAGGCCCTGCCCGCTGCTGTCATTCTGTGGGTCCGGAGAGAAGGGGCAGAGTCCCCCCTCACCACAATGGTATTGTCTGTTCTTTGGTGTCAGAAACCTCACCTCTGAGGCAGCTCTAGATTTCAGCCCATCCTACCAGTTGTCCCACCACTGATCTGTTCCAAATATGAAATATCCCTAGGCAGGGCCTCAAAGGCATCAACCAAACTGTTTCTTTGGCCCCATGCTGTCCCTTCCTAGCTCTGGTTACCCCATAACCACTGGGGCTCCCTTTGCCTGTGCACTCCCTTGGCTTAGTTCAAGGGCACTGTTTTCCTCCTGGAAAAGGCTCGTGCTGGCCAGAGAGGCAGCTCCTGTCCCTTCCAGGTCCTACTTGAGACACAGAAACAGCTCCAGGTCATAGGGCAGAGGCAGTCTAGACCAGGATTACCTCAGACCCTCTTCATCAGGGGTCCTTTCCCTTCTCTTCCCAGAAAGTTGGGAAGCCAGGAGCCAAAGATTAGTATGACAGAGTGCTGCCAGAGATGACACCTAAGTCGAGCCTAGAAGAACAGGAGCCATGTGATCTTGGGAAGATAAAGCATTTGTCTTCATGCATAGGGACACTGCTGAGCTTGGTGGGCATTTTCTCTGTCCACAGACATCCCAGGTGGCCCCACACACAACTTTTTGCCCCATGTGCAGCCATCACTGCCAACTGGGCCTGGCCCTGGCCCTGTGAAAGCCTCTGCACCTTCCTCCTCTTTATTCCCGCCACATGGGTCCTTGATTGCAGGCCACAGGGACTTGCCTCCTGCCTCCCCCAGCCCTTCTGTTAGGAGTGCCTAGAGAGCATGGCTGGCTGGTCTCCCTCCTGAAGCCCCTGCATCCTGCAGAAGCCTGGCTCCCGGCGCTGCCCCAGCCATGCCTGATGGGGACAGTAATGAAGGCAAGAAACTGCAAAATGAGAAGAGACTGGTTCAAAGACAGCAGAGGTCCCATGGAGGGCACACGGTCCTGGGTGGGGATGGGCAACCCGTGCAGCACAGTCACTCTCTGATAAGCCACACTTTCCAGTTCCCACTGAACCCCGAGGGCTGCGCCTTTCCATCTCCACCACCCTCCTCCAGTGCCAGCCTAATGCTGACCAGCCCTGTCCCCCATGGCTGCCTGCTCTCCAGACAAGCCCGCAATCTGCCTTTTGTTTTCCCTCTGTTTTCTTTGTAGTCCTCCCACTCCTGGCAGCTCTGGGAACCCTATTAAGATAATATAATGGCATTAGCAGTGGTAGCAGGAAGAGTGTGTCTCAAACTGTCGGGTTACAAGAAGTCCGGGTGAAGGCTGCTGGGAAAGCATTATCCTGATTGGGAGACTTTCTGGAGGCCACAGACCTCAGGCTGAGACCCCGCAGCTCTTTTCTTTGATTCTGGGAATGAGCTCATGAGGACTCACACATCGTTCCCAACAATGAGCTCACCAGGCTGGAAGGGAGCATGTAGACTGAGGCTTGGGTGTGTATGTCCTTGACTGTCCCTGATGCAGAGAAATGGAACGAGATGGCAGACAAGGGGACCAGGGCCAGAGGAGAGCATGTCGGATTTGGAGTCGGGGACTTCTGAAATTGGCCCCGCTAGTCAGTCACCAAACGTGATGAGCCTCTTCTCTATCTACATTCAGTGTTGTGCAGAGTACGAAAGAGCATCCCACAGGTTCTCATCAAAGCAGGTACCAGAACCCTCCATGCCACGTGCAGGGAGGAAGGTGGCTAGGAGGAGGAAGGGGCACCCTGGCTCTGCACTTGGCCTTCTAGGAAAGCCCTAAGGATGGAGCACCGGTGTCTAAGCACAAGACATGCACACAAGGGAAGGAGCCAGGGTTTACCGGATATCCACCCTATCATGTGATGGGCTGTGCACTGGGGGACCAGCAGTCCCATTCATACTGACATGATAGGGCCATTCTCTTCTCATTCTGCAGTCCTTGCAGGCCACAGGTGTTCAAGGATGCAGAGCTGGCCACAGTGTGAGGCAGTGCACCATGGGGGACAGGCAGGAAGCTGGCAGAATAGATGGGAGTGAGCTTGAAAAGAGCCCAGAAAGCTATGCTAAGGGGTATGTGAGTACATACGCCACTGGACAAGGGATGCCTCAGGAAATTTTAAGTGGAATCTCCGGACCTCCATTCCTACAGAGAAGTGTAACTAAGAGCTCAGCTCCTGAGATTCAGGCTAGAACATATTCCCATTAAACACACGCTGCTTCCACAAGCAGACTGAATTTGTAAAGGAGCAAGGAAGCCAGCCAGCCAAACAGACTCCAGAAAGAAATTTGGTAGACACCCACTACCCAGATGCAAACATTCATGGAGCACCAGCGGTCCCAAGGATGCAGCCCAGCCCCCATTTAGAGTTCAGAAAACTGAGGCCAGACCAGAGAAGGGACCTGGTCCAGTTCTTGGAGCGTGCCCAGCACCACCTCCAGCACCAATGCACATGTCATAGTATCCACAGGAAAGGTCAGTGTAAAGGAGGAGGCTTTGTGGCCCCTGAACACCATTCCCTCTTTGGTCCTTGCTTTCCTTATCTTGGAAGTAATTAGATCCACGTTTTCAAGGTCCTGAGAAGTGTACTGCTAATAGTGTAGCTTACTGGGCCCACTGACTCAGGCAGTGAATCAGAATGTGGTAAAGTGTGCCTGGTAAACTAGATGATCCTCTGAAGTTTTTTTCCAGAACTGGCTTATCATGAGCTTTACGCAGTCTTCCCACCCCTTACCCCCACTCCCATAAAATGTCTCTGTTAAGGGAAGACAGCTCCTGCTGAGTTCCTCCCATTGGCACACCCCACTCTTCTGGCCAGAGAGGCAGAAAGCTGGCTACTGGTGCACTCTCGTGATTGTTCTGGTCTGCCCTTTCTGCAGCAGTCCTTGCAGGCCACAAGTTGGGAGCCCCTCATGTGAAAATCTATCCTTCCTCATCCCCAGAATAGCTTACAAACAAACCACAGCCAGGTAGCCCCCCAAGTTTCTTTGCCCCTTCCCAAAGCACTTGACTTCTTCGAGCCTCCTTTCTGCCTGTGTCCAAGTGAGGAAATTGCACCAAGTGTGTTGAATCTAGCTCGCCCAAACCCAGATTCTGTCCATCTGCCCTGGACAATGGGAAGTGATGTCTGGTGCTAGGTTTAGCTCTGCACAGAGAGGTTAAATAAGTTGCCTAAGGCCACCCAGCAAGTTGGCGGTGGGTCTGGAGCTACAACTGGGACTCCCAGACTCCTAGAGGGGCCCTACCTCTACACCATACCTTGCCTCTGAAGAGTGAATTCCCAGGGTCAATGAAGTCACGTATTTACTTCCCCATAGCAGGTGTTCAATAAAAGGACATTGTAGGCACCTTCTCCATGCTTCTTACATACGTAGACCAATTGCCACAAAAATGGGACTTATTTTAGATACACTAATGAGAAGTTTGGGAGACATTTGAAAATTTGCCACTTACATTGTCCACTGTTTGAGAGTGACCTCAAGGGTCAGTACTACTAATTATGTGCAATAGTGACTTAAAAAAAAAAACCTACCTCGGCCGGGCATAGTGGCTCACACCTGTAATCCCAACACTTTAGGAGGCCAAAGCGGGCAGATCGCGAGGTCAGGAGTTCGAGACCAGCCTGACCAACATGGTGAAACCCCATCTCTACTAAAAATACAAAACTTAGCCAGGCATGGTGGCGCATGCCTGTACTCAGGAGTCTGAGGCAGGAGAATCACTTGAGCCTGGGAGGCAAATGTTGCGATAAGTCGAGATCATGCCACTGCACTGCAGCCTGGGCAACAGAATGAGACTCTGACTCAAAAAAAACAAAAACAAACAAAAAAAAACCTACCTCATAGGCCATGGTGAGGAGTAATGAGATGATGCATTTAAAGCCCCACTCAGCTGATTCTGAGCCCTCTACCAGGCCTGGAGATGGAGCCCAACCGACCACCTAGCATCAGTGTTTCCATCAGAGCTTGGATGAATTTGTAAAGGCCCAAGACATTTCCCTCAGGACTGGGAAGCTGTATCACTCCAGGGGTACAGATGGCACTGTGCACCTGACACTTGCATTTTCATAGTCACAGTGCTGCAGTGAGAAGAGGCCTTGACTCCCAGGCCTGCCATGACCCTCTGGGTGAGCTTGGCAAGTTTCCCAGCTGAGCCTGTTTGCCCACCCACATGGTGGAGGCTTTGCCTGGACCAGTGGTCCTCAATGTGGGGTCCATGGACCACCAGCAGCAGCAGCATCTGACAACTGGTTAGAAATGCAAACCCTGTCCCTCTCCCTACCCAGACCTACTGCTCAGAATCTCTGGGAATAGGGCTCAGCACCGTTTTACCGAGTCCTGATCATGATTCAGATGCATCCTTAAGTTTGAGACCCACTGGCCTAGATGGTCTCTCAGGTTCCCTTCCTCCTCAAAAATCCAATCATCTAGTCTAGGTGAAATCTGGGTTACAGAGACCACAGTATCCTGGTAGGGGGTGGGATATCACAGTATGCTACTGTGTAGCCTGGGTGTGGCAGGTGGGTCGTAGAAGCAGGAACAGTGGGATGTGGAAGGGAGGAGGGACCCCACTTCCCTTCCTCCCCCTCCCAGGGCCTCTCCAGCCTTCCTGTGAGCACAGGTGGGAGGACTGGATCTGTCCTTTCTGATCCTCCTCCCACTGTGCCTGCCAGTGTTCATGGGAATGTCCTTTTCTCTCCCGCTCTGCCCCTGGAAAACTGGTTTGAAAATGAGAGCTGGTGAGACCTCTAGTGGTCAGGGGACACCAGGAGCCTAGGACCTGCACCTGCTGTCCTGAGATTATGTTAAGCAGGGTTTCAATCTGGCCATGTTAGGGAGGACACCTGGACTCCACATCTGCTCTAAATTTCAAAGCAGAGCCTGAAATTATAGGCAGATGCTGCACCCAAGCCACACCTGCAGGAAGGAGGTGGGAAACTAAACACAGAGCTTCCTGACCCATATGGCCCCGTTGGGGAAGGCTGCGAGTTATCCCAAGAGGAATTCCCGCAGCCCAGCGGCCTAAACCTGAGCCACCTTAAGCTGGTTTACCCAGTGTTCAGTCTTTATGAAAACAACCCCCTGATGTCAGTTTTCCCGTCAGGCCACCAGGAGGTGCGTGGAATTTAGTTCACACCAACCCAGATGCTTTCCATCAGCCCTAGACAATGAGAATGGATGTCTGGCTCCAGGTTCAGCTCTGTGCAGTGAGGTTAAGTAACTTGCCTGAGGTCACCAGCAAGTTAGTGGTGGGTCTGCAGCTGGAGCAGAGGCTCCCAGACCCCCGGTAGGTACTCCACCCTACATCATACCTTACCTGTGAATAATACCACTTAAACCCTGAAAAGTTTTGCCCTAGATTAGGCTGCATTCTTGTCGCACCTGGCTTTTTTGTAAAACCCTGAAATTGTCTTCAGACAAAGAGGAGAGCCCAAGGCTTAGGATTAGAAACCAATATGCAGGAGGTTTGAACAAGGTGTGCCCAATCTTCTATAGCCTCCCAGATTAGTGCCAAACACAGACAGATCTCAACAGCCCAGGGGCTGGGATGGGACCACGGGCTTTGGGCCAAAGCATATGGATGAACTGGAGGGAAAGCATACTGTTGCCTAGAAGAGTGGGTGTGAGATTAAAGTGCAATCCAGTATCAGCAGAAGTCGCTGCGCTGTTCTAGGACTAAGGTCAGAATGCTGACTTCTGGCAAAGTATCTTCCTAGCAAGTCCATTTTCCAGTATGTGAGATAAACTCCTAATAGAGTGGGAGTTTCACAACTCTAAGCTCGGGTATAAAAGGAGTTTGGGGGAGTGGGGCTTTCAGGACACTGCTCCTTCCCCATCCCTTTAATCCAGGTGAGTAACCATACCTGTCTAAGGTGGGGCAGCAGTTGAGGGTAGATCTAGCATGAGATCTCTCTCTAGTAGGGAGCCTCCGCTGGTTCTGGAGGAAGGGGGAGCAGAAGGTTAGGAGTGGCTCCTGGTGTTCCCTGCGGGACTGACCCCCCGTCTCTGCATTGCAGGCAGGACAAACTGAAGATCCACATGCGGAAGCACACCGGTGAGCGGCCCTACCTGTGCATCCACTGCAACGCCAAGTTCGTGCACAACTACGACCTCAAGAACCACATGCGCATCCACACGGGCGTGCGGCCCTACCAGTGCGAGTTCTGCTACAAGAGCTTCACGCGCTCCGACCACCTGCACCGCCACATCAAGCGCCAGAGCTGCCGCATGGCGCGGCCCCGGCGCGGCCGCAAGCCCGCCGCGTGGAGGGCAGCCAGCCTGCTCTTCGGGCCCGGCGGCCCGGCCCCCGACAAGGCGGCCTTCGTGATGCCGCCCGCGCTGGGCGAGGTGGGCGGCCACCTGGGCGGTGCCGCCGTGTGCCTCCCGGGCCCCAGCCCCGCCAAGCACTTCCTGGCGGCGCCCAAGGGCACCCTGAGCCTGCAGGAGCTGGAGCGGCAGTTCGAGGAGACGCAGATGAAGCTGTTCGGGCGCGCGCAGCTGGAGGCCGAGAGGAACGCGGGGGGCCTCCTGGCCTTCGCGCTGGCGGAGAACGTGGCGGCTGCGCGGCCCTACTTCCCGCTGCCCGACCCGTGGGCCGCGGGCCTGGCCGGCCTTCCTGGGCTCGCCGGCCTCAACCACGTGGCCTCCATGTCTGAAGCCAACAACTAGGCGGGTCCCTGTCGACTCCGGTCCTCCAGTCCTCCCTCCAGGCCCGCTGCACCCCACTCCATGAATCTGAACTTTGCATTTTAAAAACCCAAAGGGAAAAATGAAAAAAACAAACAAACAAAAAATACTAGCAGTGATGGCATTTTCCCGGGCTCCTAAAGCAGCTGCCTCCTTTTGCTGGTGTCTGAGAGGGGCATCTCCTCCCAAAGAGCCTGGAGCCCGGGCCTCCCCTCCCCCCACCCCCGGCTGTCTCTCTGGCTCTCACATAGAAATTTGCACTGGCCCATGCCACACGGAGCTGGGTGCCCAGCAGCTCTTAGGAGCTGGGTGAGTTATGAGGGGTCAGGGGCGGTTGGCCTGGTGCCCAGCCAGTCAGAGCAGGAGCAGGGTAGGGGCTGGGCATGCACCTTGGTTAAGCCCCACCCCCTGTGGTCAAGTCTCCCCAACACTCCTCTGAGGGCTCATTTTCCAGTCTCCAGTGGCCCCAGGGTCCTTTTGAGAACTAGCCACCTGCCACCTAGAAAGAAATGCTCTTTGGCAGGGAGGCCTCCTGGAGTCAGGAACCAGGCTCTGGGAGGACAGGGTCATTTTTCCCTTACCTGTCCAGTGACCTTGACAGGTCGGCCCTCTGTATCTCGGTGCCACCTGGCTATGGAAGGGGCTGGTAACTTAGGTTCCCTTCCTCTGCCCCTAAACACATATACACCTATCTCCCCAGAGAATCCTGGAGAGGACAGGAGCTCTGTACTCCCCAGGTCCATGGGGAAACAGTTTATCTTTCTGGACTTAGTTTTATCACATCCAGCCGTCTATTACCATATTCGCATAGGTGAGAACTATGGCCATACTAGACAGAGGTCACAGGAGACAGGGGCGCTTCAGAGCATCACCGAAGCCCACAGGCAGCTCTGGGAACTCCCAATGCCACCCTACTTTCCCTGCAGGCCGCTGTTGATGTCTGAACCCCTGGGGGCACTATTTAGTGTTTACCCCATATCTCCAAGCCCCCTCCAAGGCTGAGCAGTGTCTTGGGGCTCTCAGGGCCAACATCGAAGAGATGGGGGCCACCTCTCAACACCTAGCAACTGTCTCTCCTCACCCTGATTCCTGAAAACAGACAAAATGTCTGGTTTTCTCGGGTTTATGTTTGCTTTTTAAGTTATGGGTTCCTCAGGGCACAGCATGGCTAATGATGGTCCCCTTTGTTGTGTGAGAGCCCCCTCCACCCCTTCATCCTCCCTGTGGGGGTGAAGTGGGAGCATTTGGGTCCCCTTTTTTGGCAAAAGGGCTCAGTGCAGGGAGGTGGAAGCCTCCAAGGTTTGAAGGGCACTGTGACTTAGGGCTGTCACATGTTCTCCTGGTTCATGAGTTTGAAGCAGGTCCTGAAAAGGAAGGCTCTGCTGGCCCCATGCCTTCCTGACCTTCTCTCTCCTTCCCTCCCCTCTCTTTTCTTGCCGAGTTTGCTTTGGTTTCTCAGCAGCCCAGAGAGGAGGAGGGTTCATCCCCAGGGAGGGTCCAGGGCTGGAGTCCCCAGTCCCTGTGCCGTGGGCACAAAGAGACTTCAGCTCTTCCTGTTGCCTTGGCTTTTTCCTGAGCAAACACACAAGAAACAAAAAGGCCGAGAAGAGCACAGACTCTGTCCCTGTCACAGCTCTCCAGAAGAGACCTCTCTGATTCTTTGTACCACCGGATGCCACTCCAGCCGGCAGGATTGCTACACACACCCTCTGTCCTCAGAAGTCATCTGCCTGGGCAGCCGCCTCTCAGATTCCTGTCTTCGTTTCAGACACTTGCCTCTGAAGCATGCCTGTATCCACCAGCCAACGTGCCCGTGTCCCCCCTTCCCCAATCAGCCAAGCGATTGGGGCCAAACCAAACTTTAAAAGAAAAAGAAAGGAAAAGTGAATAAATTGGATTCCAGTGGTGTTGGGGCTTTCGTTTTTATTTTGTAAAGGTAATGACTTCTTATAAACTCAATTTTTCAGATGACTGGTTAGTTCTTTGTTTTTTCTTAGCTGCAATTTGGAGTTGTACATTGTAAAATATCCAAAGATGTTGAGTACTGTATGATCAAGAACTTGAAGCAAATGGGTTGTGGGGGGAGGGGTGGTTGTGTTTTTATTTTGCTTCAATTTTTTTTTTTTAATGTTTTGATTTCCCTGTCTGTCTGTGGGAGAACTTTGGAATTTTTTCTATTTATAACTCCTTTTTTATGTGATTGCTCTATGTAAAATGACACTCAACAAAGTTTGCCTTAGTGATTCAAGGGACAATCTTCCATAACTTTGGTCGCACGCCGCATCCTGCCAAGAGCAACTCTCAGCTAATTTTCTGGCCTATTTATTAAACAGTATTAATTGACTTGATTAAATTATATTGAGAGTCGCACTTCTGTGAGATGTGACTTCTGGAAGTTCACAGGACAGCAACAAGCCAATCGTAAGGTTTTTGACGGGTGGGTGTCAAACTTAAAATAATGTCAAAGACACCTTTATAAAACAAACAAAAGCCTTTGACCCTTAATACTTTAAAGGACAGTGTTTTGAGTAAAAGTGAGCTATGCTTGATTAATTTCCTGGTAAGATGCATTCCCCCTTCCAGTTGCCATTTCAGCTACCCAGGGGTGTCGCATGGTAGGGAGGGCAGAACTCAATTCTCAGCAGTCTCTTACATTCCAGTTCTGCAAAGCATGGTTGGATCTTAAGCTTTGGGGCATCTGTCGGCCTAAGTGTAAGGTGTGCGTGCGTGCGTGTGTGTGTGTGTCTGTGTTCACACACGTGTGCAGCTGCAGCCCCGGGTATGTGAGCAAAGGAAGTCCTGCCAGTTCCCCAGCCTGGCGTGCGGAGCGGGCCCCCGCTGGTCCTGCTGCTGCCCATGCCTGCTTCCTCTCACTTCCTGGCGCTGGAGTTGGGCGTCTCCTCCTTTCTTTACCTGAGCCTCTTCGCCAAAGAACATTAGATCCTAAGAGAACCTACGGTAAGGGAATATACTTCTGTCATTGGATGGGGTTGGCTCTGCTTAGAACCCACAGCCCAGACTCTTGGTAACATTGTTTTCTAACTGCATTTCTGGATAACCAAGGGTCAACCCAGAGCATCTTTTCTGTTTTTGATTCCTTTCTTGCCATAGTAGGCACCTTCTGTGCAGCGTTTCTTGGTACAAAGAAAAGAACAGATCTGGGTTTCCAATCTGGACTCCTCCAAGCTGTGTGACTTCAGTCTAATCACTGTTCCACTCTGGTCCTCACTTCCCTCACCTCTCGTAATAAAGGAAATGGAGTCATCAGAGCTTCTCGAAGTTCTCCACCTAAACATCCCTCAGCAGAGGGGGCCAGCTGGTTGGCAAATTGGCGGCAGAACCCTAAAGAAGTAGCCCTAAGTAACCTATCTATAGTGTAAAACTCCTTTGGGAAGGGAGTCTCCTGTTTTGGCTTTGAAAGTCAGGCTTCTGCATTCTGTTACATAACATATACGCATCTGTCTTAATATGAAAACGTTGTTTTGATCAACTTGCCACTTAAGTGACTTGCCTTTTCCCCAGAACCTTCTAGTGAAGTTGGAGTGTTCCTTGGTCACTCTACAGCTTTGGGAAGCCGCAGCCCCTGGCTGAGGGCTCAGGGGTAAGCATAGCCCACTGCAAGAAACATAAGGCCAGATGCTCATCAAGAGTTTGCTCAGCTCGGCCATTCTAGGATCATGTGGTCCTCATTCTGGGGGTCAGTGTCCACTGAGTGGTGAAGTAGGTGAAGATGGAGAAGGGGTAGGGAACTGGGCCCAGCTGGCCCTGACCCCTGGTTGCTCCTGGATCTCCTGTGAGTAAAATCTCCTTCTAGCCCTGGTCAGGTGGGAATCCCATGGACCCCGGCCATGTGTGGCCTGCTTCCTGGGGCCTCAAGGTGCTAAGGGAGGTGGGGTTCTGACAGCTAAGGAGCCTTCAGTGGAGGGAAGAGGGAGTGAAGGAAGGAGGATGAGGCCTCCGAAGATAGGCCAAAGAAACATGTGCAATTTACCTAGAGAAGAAGGCTTAAGTGATACATACAAACAGGCATTGGGACTTCTACAGGTGTGTTGGGGAGGGGAAGCTTTCGCCAGAAATTTGGCCAACCCCAGCCAATAGAAGAGGGATCCCAGGAGGCAACTGGGTGCCCAAAAACCAGAAGAGAACTTCCTAACACCTGGAGTTGTCCTAAAGAGGAACGAGGTCCCTCATGAAGGAGTGAGCTCTCAGTCAGGGCAAGAGTTCAACACCGCCTTTCGAGTGCTGGAGACCAGGCGCGGTGGCTCAGGCCTGTAATCCCAGCAATTTGGGAGGTTGAGAAGGGAGGACTGGATTCCTTGAGGCCTGGAGTTTGAGATTACAGTGAGCTGTGATCACACCACTGTACTCTAGTTGGGTGACAAATCGATTTCAAAAAAACAAACAAAAAAAAAAGATTACTGGAGAGGAGAGTCTCTAGGGCGCCTTCCATCTAATTTGTGAAAAGGTGAATACACATCCCCATACGACTGTGGACAAAGAACCAGAGGGAGTGGGGGGCGAGTGGAAAACCAGCACTGGGCAGGTTCACAAAGCTCAGCTTGGGGGCCCAGGGCTGCTAGCCCCCATTTCCTCACCAGTCACCTACAGCAAATTGGGGCCAGAGAAGGGGACTCCAGAGAAAAACCTGGTTCTTATTTATAGCCTCCAAACGTGACAAGAGAACAGTCATGACCCAACTGGAAGTAAAACCCTCATCTCAGGCCTTCATCTGAGCCAGGGCCTGCCCCTTCTTGAACCAGGACAGAGCCCTTTACTGACTGCACTCCTCCTTTCCTGTAGCCTGGACAGCTTTCCCTTCCTGAGGGACCTCTGAGCTCACTGCAGAATGGGCAACCAGCACATAAGGGGCTCTTCCGGAACAGCGCACAGCCAGGCGTCCCTGACATGGCCTTTCCCCTCTGAGAGAAGGTGAAGTTAGGGCTTCATACGGGCAAGTGAGTGCAGGGCCAGGCCCCAGCTGGAAGCAGGAGCCAGCGGGGGTGGGGGCCTTATGGGAGGGAAGTGCCAGGCAACTCACATGCAGAGGGGCCTCCAGGGACCTGGGACGTCCTGGGACAAATTCCAGAATGAGGAGGTTTGTATCCAGTGACCCCCTCTAACTCCCCCATGTCCTCCTTTTCTCTGTTCCCAGTGTCTCTTCCTAACACAACTGCTCCTCTGCGTGTAGACACTCTGCCTTTCTCTCTGTCCAAACCTGCCCTGAAAGAAGTCACCAAATGTGAACGTGACTCAATGGCTCCCTCTCCTGGCCTTTGCCGCCCCTGCTTCTCAGTCAGGTGGAAAGAAAGGCCCCTCAGCAAAGCACTGTCAGATCACCAGCAGCACACAAGCCTGTTTTCTCTGGACAGAGGAGCCTTGAAATTGCAGCCTTGAACACTTAGCGACCTCGCGGCTCCCGCCCATCCCTCCCTCACCCCGCTTCCCCGCTCAGAAAGGGATGCGGAATGCGGGAAGCAAGTAACTAACCTTCAGCTCCTTTCAGGTTTGAAGGCTGAGGACTGAGTCAGACAAGCATTTCCATACATTGTTGGAAAGAGGATTCCCTGGGGAGATCCTGCTCCTTTTCCCTCCTTGGCACACACTGGGTAGGGGCTACTGTGACCTTGAATGGCAATGCCCACGTAGCCTAAACCAAAACATGTGGGCCCAGAAAGGGACTGACATATGAAAATAAAACATCTCAAATTTGCCCTGGAAAACCTGGAACCTGATCACTTTATCTGCAGCCACACACACACGCACACACACACGCGCACACACACACCACTTGGTCACCAAATGGTGCACAGGCTGATGTCATCGCTCCTTGTAACAATAGGAGACACGACAGTGCATGAGCAAGACCCAGCAAAGCCATTTTCCCCACAAGCCTCCTGCTGGAATATGTATAATGCACACTCAGATTGTCCCTTGCGGCTCCTGTCTTTAACCATCAACCCTGACCCCAACAACAAAAGCAAAAGAACATATAGGTTTCCAGAATAAGGAAGGAAGGTAGAGTGAATCAGATCACTTTCCCATGTTTCTCTCACAATTAATAAATGAAACATGCACACTCTGAGTAACGTAGGTGCCTTCTGCCTTCTGGGAGACCCTTGCTTCCACAAACCTTCTGGTTGCACCCCAGGAAGCAGGTATCAGCATCCCTATTCCTAACAGCCGGAGTTTGTCAAACACTGGAAGCCACTTCAGATAGCTTAAGTAGAAAAGGCATTTATTACAGGAAATTAAGTCTCTTTCAGAATTTTCACAAGAGCCAGAAGAAAGTCAGGCTGGCAGAGCCACCAAGATCAGTTGTCCAGGTTGCAAACTGCACAACACCATTACATTTAGAGGCTGTCATTGATTCGGACATTTGTATACTAAACAATTGTCCAGCAGAGGGCAGTAAAGCATCTTGAAAGGGTGCCTAATTGTCTAATTTGCATGAAGTCACCAAATGGATTAGGGGCAGAACATGGCCTGGAAACCAGGAAGCCAAGAACTGCCCAAGCCACACTGTGTCAGATTGCTGCAGCCCAGGCCCTGCATGTGGGGACTCTGACCTGTGGCCCACTCTCCACCAACGTCTCCCAGGAAAATGGGTGCCACGCCCTGCACTCCTTCACACTGCTCTCTGTGACGTGAAGTCTAGCGCTGGCGCATCTGATTGGAAGAGCCCAAGACCCATGCCCCTGCCTGATGGCAGCAGCCTGGGAAAGCAAGCGCCTGGCTCCGTCGGCCTGAGAGGGAAAGATTCATGACGTACATTCTCCAACAGAAGAAGAGCTTCGTTAATGCTGGGTGGCCTCAACATGTGATATGTCCACGCCGTATTCTGCAATGAGACGCCTGAGGCTTCAAGTGGCAAAATGGCCAGGATAAGGCCACCAAGCACGCTCTAGCAGAGCCAGGACTGGAGCCCAGAGCCACTAACCCCCGACCACAGTGCCGCTCTTACCCCTTCAAAGTGGAGGGCCAGGAGGCGGCCCACAGTTCCCACTGGGATAAGAAGTCTATTTAGACAAATCACATTCCATTGGTTTTCCTCCTGAAGCATCAGCCCTTTACAGATCTTGGTAAATTCTCCTTCACAGCATCACCCACCCCAAGTCTAGGGAGCACTCAAAACTGCCTTCCTAACTGGAAGCGGGGGTTAGCTTGCTTCACCAGTGTGGGTGATCCAGGTCCCCTGCCTTCCTCAGCAGCAAGAACAGCCAGAGGGGCTTGCTGGTCACATCCAGAGCCCAGGACTCCTTTAATCCACACCTCCCTGCTGTTGCTGAGTAGTCAGCTCTGTGCTGACCCTCCCTACCCAATATGGGGTTTCAGAATTCCAGCAGCACAG